GCTCAGTTTATAAGGTTGTTTATTATTAGAAGATGCCATAAGTTTATAAGATTATGTTTGGTCGAATTATATATCACATGATGTTTTAAGGAATACCGATAAATATTAAAAATGTAATTATTTAAATTATAATGTATAGATTTATTGTTGGTGTGCAACACTTTTTTATATTTGAACTTACTCATAATTGTATGTAGTATACCTGGGTTATCAAAGTGGTTTTAAGCTCAATCAACTCATTGTATTGGTGCGTTGTTATTGATTAGGCTTGCTGCAAACAATTTAAGTATTGTTATATTTTATGGACTAATGTTTTGTGTGTGTTAGATTTGTTTTTTATTGAATAGATTAATTTAATTACTTAAATAAAATTGATAGTTTTTATTTAAAAAAACTATTTACATTCTATTAATAAATAATAATCATTCTGATATTTTTTTGTAAATATAGTTTTATATTTATTGTTCTTTGGTTATATCATTTCGTTACTTTAATTAAAGAATCTATAAAACATAAAACGCATGTTTTGATTTGGATCGATATAAATCAAAGCCACAACACAATTCATTTAACTGTCAAGTAAATAAGAGTATACAACCAAATTGATTCTTCGAAAAATCGAATTTATTAACAACTATAATTGAATAATTGTTAATATTCGTAATTGTGTTGTATGTTCACTATTGGGGCAGTGATGAAGTTCAGAAACCAATTTTTTCTTTTCTCTTAATATCTTTAATTTCATTTCTTTGTGAATTAATTTAATAATATTTTAATTTAATTAACTATAAAAAATCATTTATTATCCTATAATAAACACCAAATTAACACCATGAGTGCTTGATGAAACACTGTGTAAATAATTAATAAAAACTATTTTTGTCTTTCGGGCAACATTTAACTGTGTCATTGTGTCATTATTCATTTAAAACTATCATCTTTTGGTTACATGTTAAAAGAATACAACCTCTTTCTTCAACAATTTTTATACCCAAATTGATAAATACATTTTTGGGCAACATAATTGAATGGACAATAAAACCGATACCTTCACCATCTTGGCTTTATATAACTAAA